GATCCTATGATTTTCATACATGCTGCCGAAAAGCATAGGATCTCCAACTAAATCATAAGATGTCTCACAAGGCTATAAAAAGTAGATAGGATTGCAGCCGGCCACCTTTTGTGTTTTTATGCTTAGTACATTATAATGGTATCCTGCACTGACGGACGTTGTCAGTGAAAGCACACACTTGCATTGTATATATACACACTCAAAGATAAACGGCTCAATTTTCACTCGGGCAAATAGATTCCAGCTCCCACACTCGAAGCAGTAGTGCTCAGATAGGGGGAATAATCTCAGCAAGCACAAAAGTTCCTCATTTCTAGAAGAGAAGCTTTTCATGTTTGCGCCTGCGTCTAAATAAATAAATATATATATATTCTATACATGTAATTATTTACCCCTGAGTAGGAGTATATGTGCGTGTGTGGGTTTGAAACTTTCTCGATTTCTGTTCGTTCGACGAACGACCACTCGCAAGGTGTGAGGCGTCAGTCACTTGGAGTTTGTCTACGCTGCTAACATGAACTCCCGGGCTAATCTGCGCCTGGTTAAGGCCAATTAACACACACTTCGGTCCGAGAATACCTCGGACGATTCACCTGCAGACAGCACTTATATGCTTCCATTTTGCCTTGATGCTACTGTGGATGAGTCTTCTTCTAACGGAGTAGAAAGAAGGCTGTTTCTGGCTGATGCCATTTTTGCTCTGCAAGAGCATTACACACAATTAAAGGGGCTGATTATTCATTCTATGATATATTAGATTTATATATTTATTAAAGTACACATTTGACGATGCTACACGAGACCACAAGTGGGGATATTGTGCCCATGTTTGCTGATGCGTAAACTCTGCAGGCTGGAGCACAAGTGAACACATTCTGTGTGTGTGTGTGTATGTGTTAGTGTGAATATGCTCTTGACCATGCGTTTTGCTAATACATTCATGTATGTGTGCATGGTAATTTGCGTATAAAGGGTTTTTAATTATGTCTTTACATAATGTGTAATTCTGTCTCTATGCCTGTGTGGGTGTATATTTTGAGCAGAGTAGGTGATTTTGTGTTGGCTTGCATGTAGGTGGGTCTATGTGTTTATATGTGGGTGGAGCGGCCACGATCTTTTAGGATAAATACGCCTATCTGATAGAGGACAGAGAAGACGGATATCTCCCATTTCCTGTTTTCTGTTTGTCTTTGCGACGCGTAAGGCAGGATTGCCCAAACAGATGTCGTAAAAGGCCTGGAGGGAGCCGGTTGCTCGCCTTGGAGACAGATTTCCAGAACAGTGAGCCTTGCTGTCTCCTGAAAGCACACAAACTACCTCCTCCTCCCCCCCGACTAAATCCGTCGATTCGTTATCACGCCTGGGCCCCAGATCTTTCATCCTCTCTCTCTCTCTCCTAAATTCCTGTCATGGCTGCCTACATTTTTTGCTTACCTGCTCTCTCACTCCCTCCATCACTTCCCCTCACGCATATCTCCCTCTCCTCCATCCATCCTCCGCGCATTCTCTTTCGCTCTCCTCTTTCTCTCCCTCTCTCCCTCTCTCCCTCTCTTCCTCCATATATCTCGCATTTTTGCATTTCAGACCGGTCTATTCCCTTCCTCATTTGGTCTAGTCATCACTTTATCCTATTCTGTACATTTTTCCAAGCAAATGCTTTGCTTCTTGCTTCCTCGAAGCTCAACTTCCCCACTTATAGACTTTTGGGATGGGCTATGTGGACACTACAAGACTGCGTCCAACATGCCCTGGTGACAAGAGTGCTCATACACGCCCTGGTGCTTTGATGCTCAGCCTAAAGCGCCTTTCGGCTGAGTCATACGGATTCACATGCCAAATGGGCGCTGGTCTCTGGACGGGGTCCTCCTCAAGTCACGCTAGGAGGCTGTAGCGGCTCGGGTGGAAGCATTGGGTCAAGCTGAATTTGCTCGAGATTCAGAGGCATAGGGAAGCTCGCCATTTGGCAAAGGGATATATCTTTTTTGATACAATTCGTTTGTGAGTCATATTCATCTGATTCTGGGAAATCTCAAATAGCGTTACATCAGTCACCTTAAGCGACTTATGCTCGACCCTCTCGAGAACTACGTACATCGGAAATAAATAATATCGTCAATTTTATTTGCTAAGACACGCTTGCTTTATCAACACGCCCACGATACATGCGATTTAGATGAGGCTTGAATAACCTTAAGGTCTTGCGGGTCCTGTAACTCTCTGGCAGCCGTGGCTGTGTTGTGGACCGGAGGGATGGCAACGATAATCTCGATCCGAGATCGAGTTTCGCTGGGGACGATGAGGAGATGTATAGACTTCAGTCCACCTCAGCACTTTGGGAGGCACGGATAAGGCAAAAATGATGGTGAGCAGATGAAAAAGCCCCGACGAAAAGGAGTTACACCGAATGAGTATGACAAAGGTTGGACAGACTAGACAAGTGAATACATTTCGATTAAAAGCTGTATTTTTCCATATTGCTATAAGTTCTTTTTCCAGTAGTTTCGATGCACTACTTAAAACGGAAATAAGTAATGTAGTCTAATGCAATGGCAAATACAATTCGGCTCCTTCAGCACTCTCACCACAGAACGCTATATGAGAAAAGCCTGGCTCTCAGCTTAATTCAATTCGGCTCAAGGGGAATTGTGGCAACCTGGCTAAGGTATCGTGACTACGCTGCGCTACCATAAGCTGGGTTCGAGTTCCGCTGAAGGTACTGATAAGACAGATTGGACGAGATCAAGAATGCCTAGATGAGAATGTCATTTGGGAGGCAAGGCTATGCGAAATCCAATGGAAACTTCAGGCCAACGGAAACAAATTATAGAAGAATTCGAGTATCTGTCGCTTTATAACCTGAAACGAAATAGGATAAACATGCTTCAACTCCGGATCTTGCTTGTTCTTTCACTTCCACCGCATTAGGCAATGCCTCCCGTTGCATTCCAAGCAATGAGGTTGCGGATCACTGAGGCCCATGCGTTCGGCCATCCAATTTTTTGAGCCCGTGATTCTGCAGAATTTCTAAGGTTCTCTAATCCTCGTTTTTATTGCTCTCCTTGTCCTTCCAATTTACCATTATTCACCGTCCTTTGTAGCTGAGGTAGCAATACACTCTAGAGGACTGCATTTTGTTAACATTTTCATTATAGCTACGTTGAATGACTGGGTTTTTATACATCTCTTAACACTACTGTTGAGGAGACTTTCATTTTTTAGCATACACACAAGCAAAACACGTAAAAGTGCCAAGACCAAAGAGAAAAGAAATTAGCGAAATCATTTTTTACTATCTATGCCTGTATTCTTTTCGTTTTTAGTTATAAATATATTTAAGAGTTAGAATAGAATTGGACAGTCTTCATGGCCTAATGATAACATGAGACCTTTACAAGATTGAATTCCAGCTCTGATGATTTCCATCATATGATAAACGAAATCTCAGCCCGTTTTTGTCCATTTTTAGCGTAAATCTGAACGTGGTATTGAGGCTGCAGAACCAACCGTCTTCTGTTGAGATCGACCTTTCAATCTCCTCATGATGCATTTTCTTACGAAATGAAAGTCTCCCCATTAAACTTTAAATGTTGTTTACGTAATCTTGTGAAGTGTTATCCTTTATTTTGGGTCTGTTGCATAGTTTCTTTCAATAACAGCGTACCATCTTCCTTGGTTTCCTCTAATTATCATCATCATGTCATCTGCTCTCCATGACTCGTATATTCCAGTATGCTCCTTCCTTTTTCTATCCGAACCAAGACAAATCCGAGTTATTTTTCGTATTTTAGTAGAGTTTTGAGTTATTCTATCCATTTCACCATCTCAGATCTCCATATCAATAGGTCTTAGGCTTCTTGCTATCCTTCCCATGAACACTCGGAGCTTCAGTTCATAACTTTTCTGGGGAGACTGGAAATTAAGGATTAGTCCTACTTGCACGTTATTTCTGAACAACCCTTCCTCTAGTGTCTCCTAGCGACGAGCAACTTCTATGCTCAAGAATGGTTCCTCTCCGTTTTTTCCACCTACATCGTACACGCTTTTTCTTCAATGGGATATTGGAAAGGTAAGAACTCATCCTATTTGTCTATTCCATGAAACTACAGTGTCGTCAAGTGGTCTGAC